GAGAGAGAGAGAGAGAGAGAGAGAGAGAGAGAGAGAGAGAGAGAGAAACAAGAAATTGTTTGACAAGCTAAATGGTGGCTGTATAGTTGTTATTCCTATCTCTTTGGTAATTATTGGGAGACAAAAAGGTGATAAAAGAGAGAAAATGGAATCTAACAGTTCTTTTGTTGGTGAAGCAAAGTAAGCTATAGTAAAGCAAGTGTACGAGGCTGGAGTGGTGTTCTGAACAGCTCTTGGCAGGTGGTGTTGAGGCAGGAAGAGAGCCACAAGTTAAGCCAATTCTGGGCTACACAGTGCATTCCCAACCAACCTGGCATGCATCACAACATGCTGAATCAACAACGGGAAGGAAGAAGGAGACAGAAGGGTAGATAAAAAGAAAGAAAGGTAATGAAAAGAGAGAATATTTGCAAGCCATTGAAGAGTAAGTTAACGTGGTCTACAAATGAATGGCATAGAAACCAGTAACAGCAAAAGAAGAGGCACATAGAATGTGCTTGAAATCAATGAGGTGAAATATCCTTAATTTCTACACTGAGTGAGACATCCAGAGACAAGAGAGACAAAATTTGAGAACCACACCAAGAATATATCATCCTCAGAATCTCACCGAATGAATTTATATCATTTGTAACTTTCAAAAAGGAATCTGAGCCCAGGAGGAAGGATTAAAGCGAGTGTTAACAATAAGAATGGCATTTGCAGTCAGGGGGAATTTGTTTTTTGACACATGGGTAACTCTAAACAAACATGAGCAAAATGCGATGACACACTGATGTGATGATGTAATGACGTGCAATTCTGCAGTTCCAAGTCGGTGTCATATTCAAGTACTAGGCAATGAAAGAAAGTATAACCATTCTAAGATACTTTTACTAACCCAGAAAGACAACTTGGTGATACAGCTAACACAATCCACACTATGAGCTTCTGTGGGACTGTGCCACTCAGATGGGTTCCCTATTCCACCCATCATAACTTTGAGTATGATTGGGAGGAGTTGAAGGGGGAGAGAGAGGGAGGAAATCATGTAAATATAATAAAAATCAATTAATTAAAATTAAAAACACCATGCTTGTGTTGGCAGCACATGTACTAAAATTGGAACAATGCAGAGAAGATCAGCATGGCCATTGCACAAGGATGACATGCAAACTTGCGAAGTGTTCCATAATTTGTTATCAATTAAGCAAGGCATATATGGGCTCACAGAGATTAAAGCAACAAGCTCAGGGCCTACACGGGAAAGCACCAGGTCCTCTGCAAATGTAGCTATTAGCTTAGTATTTTCATGGGACTCGTAACTGTGAGAATGAGTGGGTCTCTAATTCTTGTGCCTGCTCTTGAGAGTGTTTTCCTCCTGTGGGCTTCCATGTCCAACTTCAATATGATAGTTTTTGCTTCATATTATTACATTTTATTTTGTCATCTTTGGTGTCTATCTCTTAGATAATGAGAAAAAGAAAGGAAGTGGATCTGGAGGGGAGAGGAAGTGGAGAGAAACTGTGAAGGACAGAGGGAGGGGAAACTATAATCAGGTTATATTGTATGAGAAAATACATTTTCAATAAAAAAGAAAAAATAATAAACTACTGAGTTCATTTAATCTTGCTCCTATGTACATGTGTTTAGGGCTGAACACTAGGGATCGATTAACAGATGGGGGGGGCGGGGCTCATCTCTGGAAAAACAACCTGATTCTCCCTTTCTCGGCAGTCATTGATTGTCTGCAGCTCTTTATTTAGGGGTAAGCCTTTTGAAATTGTCCTCATTCACATGGGCATGTTGACTGGAATTGTCACTGTGTAGGTCTTGTTTAGACAACTCTGATGTTGTTGAGATTTCTCAAGGCAGCTTCGCTGTCATGTCTAGAAGACACCGACTTACAAGAGCTGTCCTGGTCCTCTGGCTCCTACAACCTTTCCATCTTCTCTTCTTGGACTTTCCCTGAACCCCAGGGGTAGGGATTGTGTTGTAGATGTATCAGTTGTGGTATTTTATGTTCTGTTTCCTCAGACAAGCAAAACAAAAGACGAAAGAGGGTGAGAATGGGTAGCGGTTTTTAATACAAGCATCTTTCAGGATGGAGTTCACTTTAAAAAGAAAATTCCCTTGATTGGCCTTAAGCTGGGTCCATTTCTCATTTAACAATAAAGAAATCACACGCGCAGGTTCCACTTTCATTTCTCCTTTCTCTGCCGCTGTCTTGTGAATGGGCTGTGATCCTGCTCTGTGGCCTGGTGTTGGTGATGGATAACTGTTCGCTGTGCAGCCGCTTTGACACACTTTACTGTGGTTAGCTGTGGTTATTTCAACGCCGTGTAGCAGAGCTGTCTCTAAAACCACCTCTTTATTCAGCCCTGAGGATGGATTGCCCGCGGATCGCCCATGGGAGGCCTTTTTAGGAGGCCCTTGGCACCAGCTGTGGCAGTCCTGGCTCCGGTTCTGAAGGGTGTTTGGTGCCAGATGAAATGATCCCATCGGGCTCTTTGATCTGATCCCACTTGGTCAGCTGGGAAGGCGAGCTTTCTCCCGCTCCCCTCTTCTGCAGCTCCAGGTTGGCTGGCGGCCCTCTGCTGTGGTGTCTTCTCACTCCGTGGGGTGCTCGCTCTCCTCAGCTGCTTGCACTGACGTGGGCCCTTGTTCTGGCACCCTCATTGATCTATGCTGCCCAGTGCTGGCCCGACTGCGTTGGTTTTTGTTTCTCTACAATGTTGTTGAGTTTCTTCGCCCCTGGCAAGCTCCTGAATTCCCCAGCAAGCTTGAGGTGTAATCACATTTCAACTGCTGTTCTGATATGAGGCACCAATTAAATGGAGATGAAAAGGTAGACGTGGGTTCAGAGACGAGAGAGCTCAAGCCAATGTGTATTCCTCCGTGGGCCAGGTAGCGAGATGACAGGCCCGCTGAGGTTTGGATGTTAGGCTGAAGTCTGGAGTGGGTGAGGAGATTTGCTTTTAGTATGTGTGGTTGCAGTCAGTGTGAGCTTTAAGCTTGAAGTTGGGAGAAGCTGCTTGTAACGGCTCATGAAGGAGCTGCTGAAAGCCCCCCATAAACACGGGAAGTTAATGTGCATTGCTACAAGAATACCAGAACAGACAAAGGATCAGTGGAGCAGGATGTGAGGAAAACTTTCCCCACCCGCTCCTGAAAGCAACAGCCGTTCTTTCTCACCTCAGCAGAACACTATATGGTGGTGCAAATCCATTTGTCATATACAACACTGCACTACAATCCAGGCTGGTGAATGCTTATGGTCTTATAACTGTATTAAAATATATAGGAAACCAAAGGTCTCCATGTCGTGGATCTACTGAGCTGGCAGAGCATTTAAGCAGGACAAAAATGCCAACAAGTGACCTTGGAAATGAGGTTATTAGAGAGGATGATTTCTGTTCACCTATTTTCTGATTTTTCTTACCAGCACTTATCATAACACACAAACACACACACACATGCACACACACACATACACCACACACACACACACACACACACACACACACACACGTGTGTGAGAAAGCAATTGTGAGCATTTGTGCCTTTCTAAAACTACTAGCTGTTTGAAGTCAGTAGGGGCATACTGGAGAGAGTGGGCTAATGAGAGGCAAAATTCAACTTTTTTTCAAAATAAATTAAAAAGATATTATGGAAAGCAGAAAGGACTCAAAGCTGTGTACTTGTTAAAAAGCAATAATGAAAACAGACACACACACACACACACACATCTCTGGGTACATGTCAGTTTTCAAAGGACTCTTCATAGCCTCATAGATGTGTATCAATACCAATCAAAACAAATGATCTGAACACACCACTCAAAAATCTAGAAAAAGAACAATATAGTGAATCTAAAGAAAGCACAAAGGAGTCAATGTAGATAAAAGTGGAAATCAATAGTTAAAACAGAAAAATAGCTCTGTAGTCATTTCAAGCTGCTTGACTAATATCAAAACCGTGAAAATGTTACATAAAAGTGTAACAAAAAAACGATGACCATACATCAGACTTAGTTGGTTTCACAGAAAAGTCTAATGATTAAACAATCCAATGAAGTAAAATATATCAGAATATATGGAAAAGAAAGAAATCTTCTATTTTCATTTTCTGGATTTATTATATTATTGGTCCCCAAAGCTGACTATGGTTGTATTAAGAAAGCTACATACGATCGCAAAGATTGCCAATGGAATTAAATATTCATAAATTACTTATTAACTTTAATGTGATGCCAATAAAAGTTTCTCTGTAATTTCCAAATAAGAATAGACATGAAGCCCCGACAACTTCCCTTCTGGACCAGAGGTGAGTGCCTGGGTCCAGCCCGGACCCCATCCCT